TGTTTCCGTGGTCACGTGGCCGGCATGACTAAACACCAAGGGGCACGGAACGCTGTTACCTTCCCACCGAAGCGGTACCTATTTAATCTACTTGCAATGTCTTGCTTTCGAACTGTTAGGTTGGCAGGAGCTGGGGACAGAGATGGCAGCTCACTCCGTCATGCGGCACACTCAGGTCTCAAACTGCCGAGCTACAGACCTTCCGGTCTGCAGCTCACTGTCTTAACCTCTGAGCCCCCCACTGAGTAGAAAGGTGAGGTATAAATGAAGTGAATAAATTAAAATATATATATATTACATATAGGTATGTGTTCTGGCTAAACGAGCAGATAACAAACCCTCATTAAATAATTAATTCTACGATCCACTTAGTCTGATTACCCGAAAAGCCTTAAGCAGGCCTACCTCCTTTCCTTGACAAGTGCCTGTAAATTTATGAAGTGTTTATTGTAATGTATGGCCGCTCAGTTTAAACAGCTCCATTGCAAAAAAAAAACCTGATGTGGCTATCAGGCCCAAACAAGGGAAGCGGAAGACAGCATTTGGGCTTCAAGAGTGACAGGGGTTTAAAGTTCCATCACAAGTTTTGGCTGTTCATCATCCTAACACCCTAACGTAATACTCTGCCACAACATTCTGGCCCACTTTTCTTTGCATTTGTCGATTTATTTTCAAAACAACAGAACTTCAAGTCGCAAGTAGTCAAAATCCAAATGCCCTTAACAAGAGAAAAAAGGACGCCCCTCCCCACCAAAGGACAAAATCCTCCTCACTGCATTAATGTTATCACCCTAAAGTAGCCCTAGATTAACTTTCCCCATCCACGCCTCTCCCCACCCCCATGCAAAAAGCAATACAACAGAAAGTTAAAAGAATACCCAAGCTCTGAATGTAAAGCATAGGAACCAAGATGCTCTTAAACCAAAGGGAAGGCCGCATCCTTAGGTCACCCTATTGTGTCTCGCTATTGTACGGCTGGAACATTGCTTAGCGTGCTAAGCTCTTCAATCCCTCTTTCCCCCTCTCCCCAACGGAGCACCAGATGGGATACTCGCTCGGCATCCAGGCACGACAGGTTGAGCTAAGGACAGCATCTCATCTTCCCGCATCCTCTCTCCCCCTCCCCAGCAGTTGCTCACATTTCGGTTTGAAAGCAGTTCCATTCCCGCAACGCTAGAGGTCATCAAAAGAGTGTTTCAAGCCAGGCAGCCTCCTCGGTTTAAACTTGGCCTCCCCGCCCCCCACTCTGGAAACTACTACAAGACCACGTTCCAAAATTGCATGAAGCAATTATTTCAAGTTAGCTACGGTGTTGCTTCAGCTCAAAAGCATAAATAACGTTTACGGAGGTTTTTCTTTCTTGTCTTGTGCAAGTAAGACAGTGCTGTAAGAGCAGCAACGCACCGGAAGGATGCCAACATTTAAGTGAGGGATGGGAGAAAGATTTGAACACGCTGTCCGCCTCCAGCTGGGAACGGCCTGCACTGCAGACCTATTCTGTAAGCATTTTTATCTCGTTTGCTTCAACCCCCTTTTTTGGGCAAACGTTCCATGACAACACAATGCACATTAGAAAAATGCAATTGTCAGGCACCAAAAAAACACCCTCTAGAACCGAAAGAAATTCAGCTGCGCTTAAGCGGTTGAAGACCACGCATGAACAACTTCTGAGCCTACAATTTTCCTCCTGCCCAAGGGACTGTAGGCATCCAGTGTTGTTTTTCAGGTTTTTTCACTGTACAGCGGTTGATTCAAAGTCAAGACGGATCAACGACTGCTTTTGAAATCCCGTCTATTTCCAAATGCTCTGGCCCTGGATGGTCCAGGCTAGCCAGATTTCAGAAGCCAAGCAAGGTCAGCCCTTGGATGGGGGACCACCAAGGAAATCAAGAGTCTCTATGCAAAGGCAGGCCGGGGCAAACCACCTCCGAACATCGCTTGCCTTGGAAACCCCATGAGGACTTCCCAAAAGTCAGCTGCAACTTGACAGAACTTTATAGTAAAGGTAAAGGCTCCCTTGCTCGAGAGCCAGTCGAGTCCGACTCTAGGGCTGCGGTGCTCATCTCCGTTTCCAAGCCGAAGAGCCAGCGCTGTCCGAAGACGTTTCCATGGTCATGTGGCCGGCATGACTAAACACCAAGGCGCACGGAACGCTGTCACCTTCCCACTGAAGTGGCACCTATTTATCTACTTGCAATTTCTTGCTTTCGAAAGGCCACGCTCCAAATCCTGATGTTTCCTGATAAAAATATCCAAAATGATTTCCTCTTCATAGCATCTGAAGAAGTAAGCTCCGACTCGCAAAAGATCCTGCTGGAGTAAATGTGGTGAGACTTTAATGTGCCACTGGAGTTCTAGTTGATTTTGCTACAGTAGACTAACACAGCTACCCCTCTGGAAGTCTCAGTATTTCCAGGGGTCGTAGAAAAAGAGCTAGGGGAACTCATTAGCATAACTCATTAGCATATGCCACACCCCCTGACATCACCGGAAGTGTGTCATAAGACCACACCCCCTGACATCACCGGAAGTGTGTCATAAGGCCACACACCCTTAAGGCTTTCGAGCGAGGGAACCTTTACCTTTACCTTCAGTCTTCGCCTGATCACAGCAATACTTTGTGCCTGCCGCATCTCAAGAATTGCCTTTGCTGGGACATCTGGGCTATATGCAACAAATGCAGAGGCATTCGCAATCACAATAGAATGCCCACTTGGAAGTTTGCCCCACACACAGACACTTTCTTTTGCCATCTCCCAGACGCCACTCAATGGCTTAATTTTTAAAATAAGTAGTTGCAATATTGCTATAGCATAATGCCACAGCATTTTTTTTTAAAGGCCACTAAACAAGCTCTCTGGTAAGGTGACAGAGAAAGTGGAAGCCGCAAGGGAATGAACACATGAAGTCAGGCCCTTGGCCCATGAAAGTCAGTATTGTCTGCTCTGACTGGTAGCTGCTTTCTGGGGTCTCAAAGTAAAGGTCCTTCACATCACCTACTACGTGATCCTTTTAAGCGGAGAGGCCAGGGATTGAACCCGGCAAGGTAGCGGATGCTGCCGTGGATGGACAGTGGGAGGGGGAAAGAGGCTGAACTATTGGGATTGATCCAGCCGACCTCTAGCTCAAGCTCCCAGCTCCACACTCTGACCTCAGTGAACCTTGAACCCTCTAGTTCTCGATGGATACGGCTCCCACGATCTTGGTCTAGCCATGATTCTCTGTGTTTTTTGTTGAACAGATACGAAGCTGCCTTATAGCGAATCAGACTTAATGCTTGGAGGGGGGGGTCAACAGTGGGAGGGCTTCTAATGTCCCGCCCCACTGGTGGACCTCCTGATGGCATCTGGTATTTCTGGCCACTGTGTGCCACAGAGTGTTGGACTGGATGGGCCATTGGCCTGATCCAACACTGGCTTCTCTTATGTTCTATAGGAACTCTCTGTCTGGGGCAAGGGATGAACTGTATTCTTGGTTCTTGGGGGGGGGAGGCAACAGTGGGAGGGCTTCTAGTGTCCTGGCCCCACCGCTGGACCTCCTGATGGCACCTGGTGTTTCTGGCCACTGTGTGCCACAGAGTGTCTGACTGGATGGGCCATTGGCCTGATCGAACACTGGCTTCTCTTCTGTTCTTATAGGAACTCTCTGTCTGGGGCAAGGGATGAACTGTATTCTTGGTGCTTGTTGGGGAGGGGGCAACAATGGGAGGGCTTCTGATGTCCTGGCCCCACTGCTGGACCTCCTGATGGCACCTGGTATTTTTGGCCACTGTGTGACAGAGTGGTGGACTGGATGGGCCATTGGCCTGATCCAACATTGGCGTCTCTTATGTTCTTATCATTGGCACACAAAAATCTGGGAATACTATACCATGGAAAAGATTGCCACATGTATCCCTCCTGCTAACACCTATAAATCTCAATCTCTATTTTACACGAAATGGCTTCCTTTTATTGAAGCAACTTTCTTGGAACCAATAGTCCCTTCCCACTCAATTCCTCAGCGGTATGAAGAGATCATAACAGTACTTTGATTTTCCTTACTTTATTCAAACTGCATTTACATTATTTTAATGAGCAATAGGGTTGCTGTCTATATATTGTTGTTAATTCCTATTGTGTTCTGTTTGAATGGCTTGTCCAGTTATGTTTCAAATCTTGTGACTTGCTACGTTTATTGCATCGATGTTTCATTCATGTGACTTGTATCATAGTGGGGTTTTGATGTCCATTTTACAGGGAGGCTCGTCTTAAAATTATTACCCCATTAGTCGATAGGACACCTGGGCACATTAATACAAACAAAGCAAGGCTTCACTAGCTCCTATCAGATAGGAATGCAGAGAGTCACTGAGATTTAGCATTAATTCTTAGATTGCAGGAATCGCATTTTAAAAGTTCTTAAATTCAGATTTCTATTTGTGTATATTATGGCTGGAGGGGGTTTCTCTCCCTCACATGTTATCCTTACTCCGTATGTTGGTCTTAATACCGTAATAATAATAAACTAAACTACTGAATCAGACTGCTAGTCCATCAAGTAATACAAACAAAGCAAGGCTTCACTAGCTCCTATCAGATAGGAATGCAGAGAGTCACTGAGATTTAGCATTAATTCTTAGATTGCAGGAATCGCATTTTAAAAGTTCTTAAATTCAGATTTCTATTTGTGTATATTATGGCTGGAGGGGGGTTCTCTCCCTCCCATGTTATCCTTACTCC